TTCTAAGATGACAATGTGTGATCTATTAACTGGTGAATTCTTACTGTATATTTTTTTCTCTTGAAATTCTGTATTACTTCTAGCCTTTTACTGTTTTGCTTCGTTTAGTTTTGTTTTTCTCTTTAAATTAAAAAAAAAAGATAGAAAAGAAAAAAGAGTGTTGCTTCTGACCTGACTTGCTGCTGTAACTTGCCATATGTGACCTTTGAACTCAAGCAACCTAACTCTTGGTTTCCTCTTCTTTAAAAGGGGACAGTGGTACAGAGAGCAAAAAGTATTGTGAGAATGTCATAACATGACCGGTAAACCCAGTAGCGGCTCAACATATGTTATTCAAAGGAAGTAGTTTCCTTCTGCTTATCTGCTTTTTGTATAAGAACTTTATTCATCAGATATGAGTTATCAGGGAAGATTTTTAAACACAGAAGTGATTTGGACTATAGAATCAATTGCAGCTTTAAAAAATAAGTCTGGTGACACTGTCAAGGACAGTCAAAACAGATAAATGTGTGAGTTGAAAGCATTTGAAATCTGTTAATATTACTACTCCCAAGTATAGTTTAAGACAAATTTGTGATACTTGCGCAGATATATTTATGTATAGAATTTCAAGAATAGCATTAAAATCATAATAATGTATCAGCAGGATAAATGAACAATATGCAATTATAAAGCAAATTTATTTTTATCTTCTATTCATTCATTCATTTATTCTTTTGAGTAGTCCAGACTCACTTGCAACTTGCTGTGTAGCTCATGCTGTCCTCAAGCTCAAGACCCAGCTGCTAAAGTACAGATAAGTTGCACCACACGCGGCCTCACTGTCTATTTAAATCTAGTCCTTTACTTCTTCCTATGTCCTTAGTTGAATATTTGGGTGGGCCCCAAGATATTTTTGGTTACCATTCAAACCATTTTTTAAACACTTAAAATTTCAAAACACAGCTTTGGCATTGTAATTGCTATATTAAAGTATTAAGTCCATGAAATAGTCAAAGGGTAATTTTTATTTTATAATTGAGGTCTCTTCTCTTTTTCGTACTTGGGTCTGTGCTGATCCAAGCCTGTCAGCTTTTCCTTTTCTCTGCTTAGTGTCTCAATTCCTTTTCACTATCCCATTAACCTTAAGCTTTGACCCTTCTGTTCCAGAGTGGGTGGGAAAGGAGACGTAATGAGAGTGTCAGTTCTTACCTAACCAGTTCCAGGTGATTATCTGACAGCCAGAGAGCTGACCTGGAGAAGTAGGCATTTGAATAGGTCTTTCATAGCCCTCTTCCCTCCATTATGTTATTAGGAATTAAATCTTATCTACAGTTTTCTAACAAAGGTAGAAGGTTCTCTGTTCTCACTGGATATCTATTTCTTTATTAGTTCCTTTAAAACTCCAGCTATGCCTTCAAATTCTTTCTGCTGATATTTAGTTGCGACTCAGAGACTACTGAGAACAATGCTTTATATTATCCTAAACTAGTTCTTTCTCACGAGTGGCCTATAAGAAAAAAAATTTTTTTAATTTTATTTAAAGAGAAAAAAACAGATAAAGGGTAGAAATAATTTCAAAAAAAATAGAAATCACTAGTTAATAAATTACATATTGCCCTCTTAGAAATAGTTGTTCAAGTTATATAAAGCATACAAAGTGGACATTCAAACATGGAGACTGCAAACAGTTTTGTTCAATGATCCAACAAAAACCTAGTAATATAGTTATCAATCCTACACACTTAAACATACATGCAGTTATATCTTTTAGAGCACTTTCTTTTCCTCTCTTCTTTATAATAGCAATTACGCATTTTGGGTTTTATTACTCCTACATTTCTTATTACTTTTAACACTAGAGACACAATGTGATATTTATAAATATGATTCTTATTTATTTCACTAATGAGGATAGTCTTAAGTTGTCTCCATTTACCTATGAAGGCCTCAAGATCATCCTTTTTATAGCTGAGTAATATTGCATTGTATCAAAATACATCTTTTTCATCCACTCTGCAGTTGATGGGCATCTTGGTTGTTTTCAAGATTTAGCTATTACAAATTGTGCTGCTATGAACATGGGTGCACATATATCACTGTGATATGAACTTTTCAGCTTTTTTGGGAAAATACCCAGGAGGGGAATAGCTGGATTGAATGGAACTTCCAATCCTAGTCTTCTGAGAAATCTCCATAGTGATTTCCATAGTGGCTGCACCAGTCTATACTCCCACCAACAGTGGAGAAGTGTTCCTTTTTCCCCCGCAGCCTCCCCAACATTTGCTATCAATTGATTTCTTGATAAGCAGTCATTCTTTGCAAAGTGAGATGAAATCTCAATGCTGTTTTAATTTGCATTTCTCAAATGACCAGTGATGGTGAACATTTGTATATCTTCATCTGAGAACTGTGTGTTCATCTCCAATACTCATTTTTGGAGAGGGTCTTTGAATTTGGAGAAGCTTGATGTTTTTCAATTCTTTATATGTTCTTGATATAAGTCCTTTGTCTGAAGGATTGCTGGCTAAAATTCTTTCCCATTCTGTGGGTTTTCTTTTCACTATGTTGGTGATTTCTTTTGAAGTGCAGAAACTTTTCAACAATATGAGATCCCAGTTGTTGATTCTTTGAAGTGTGTCCTGTGCAGTTTGCATTCTGTTCATGAATTCTCTGTCTACCCCTGTGTCTCCAAGACTTCTGTCTACCTTGTCTTCCAGTAGATTTAGTGTTTCTGTTTTAATATTTAGGTGTTTGCTCCATTTAAATTTTAGTTTTGTGCATGATGATAGGCATGGTTCTAGTTTCAGTCTTCAGCATGTGGAGAGCCAGTTTTTCCAACACCATTTATTAAAGAGGATATCCTTCTTCCAGTGAACATGTTTAGCCCTTTTGTCAAATATCAGGTGGCTGAGTATCTTGATAGTTGTGTTAGCATCTTCTAATCTGTTCCATTGATCCTCGGGTCTACTTCTTTGCCAATACCATGCTGACTTTATTACTGTGGCTTTGTAGTATAGTTTCAAGTCAGGAATTGAGATGCCTCCTGCCTTGCCTTTATTGCCCAGAACTGCCTTTGTATTCTAGGTTTCTTCTGTTTCCAAATGAATTTTAGGAGTGTTTTTTCTCTGTGAGGTATGTTAATGATATTATGATTGGGATTGCATTAAATTTGTGTAACAGTTTTGGGAGTATGGCCATTTTCATAATGTTGTTTCTTCCTAACCAAGAGCAAGGAACATCCTTCCATTTTCTAATAACCTCTTCAATCTCCTTTTTTAGCATAGCATAATTTTCAGCATATAGGTCTTTTACATTCTTAGGTTGATTCCTAAGTATTTCATTTTTTAGATGTTGTTGTGAAGGTCGATATTTCCATAATTACTCTCTCAGTAAGTTTTTTGTTTGTATACAGGAATGCTATTGATTTTCGAGCATTGATTTTGTATACAGCTACACTGCTGAATTTGTTTATTACCTCTAGTAGTCTTTTAATGGAGTTTTTGAGTCTTCTATATAGAGTATCATGTCATCTCCAAATAGTAATAATTTAGCTTCTTCCTTTCCTATCCTTATTCTTTTTATTTCTCTCTCTTGTCTGATTGCCCTGGCTAGTGTTTCCAGAACTATATTGAATAGGAGTGGTGATAGTAGACATCCTTGTCTTGTTTCTGATTTTAAAGTGAAAGCTTTCAGTTTTTGTTCATTTAGTATAATGTTAGCTGTTGGTTTGTCATAGATGGCATTTACAAAATTGAGGTAGACCCCATGTATTCCGAGTTTCTGAAGGGTTTTTATCATGAACATGTGTTGGACTTTATCGAAAGCTTTTTCTGCATCTATTGAGATGACCATGTGGTTTTTGTTTTTGGCTCTGTTGATGTGGTATTACATTTATTGATTTGTATATGTTAAACCATGCAAGAAAAATCTATGTATCATTTTTGTTTTGTTTTGCTTTTAGTTTTTTGAGACAGGATTTCACTATGGAGTTAAGACTGGCCTTGAACTCACTGTGTAGTCCAGGTTGGCCTCAGACTCAGGATAAACCTCCTGTTTCAGCCTTCTGAGTGCTGGAATTATAGGTCTGTGCCACCATGCCTAGCTTTTATCTATCTTTTTGCACCAGCAAGTTGTGATTATACAGGACCATGGTTCTCTCATCAAAATATTTCCTGTCCTTTCAACTAAATCTTGTCTGGTCATTTTCCTAAGGAGGAGTCTGATTTAGTGTACCAAATTTCAGAAATGCCTATTACATTTTTAAAATTTTACTCTTTATTCAAACTCAATGTAAGCAGAAAGAATTCTCTTTCTAACATCTTGTTTCAGTAGTTTTCTCTCTGAACACAATTATCTTGTCAATATCCAATTATTGATTTTTTTATACACTCACTAAGGATTAGGAATTGAAGAGCCAAGAACTATTGTTTGTTTTTTGTTGATTGTTGGTGTGTGAATGTGTTTGTGTGCGCATGTGTGCGTGCGTGTGTGTGTGTGTGTGTGTGTGTGTGTGTGTGTGTGTGTGTATGTTACTGGGGATTGAACCCAGGACTTTCACACTGAGCTACATGCTCAGCCCTTTTTATTTTTTTATTTTGAGACAAAGTCTAAATAAGTGACTACGTTACCCAGGCTTGGCTTGATACAGCTTTTTTCTGTCTTTAAAACTTTTATAGGCATCCTGCCTCAAATAAAGTACTAGGATATAGCTCAGTGTTAATGCTCTATGTTCAACCTAGCATGAGTGTTACATTTCTACATATGTATGTATATTTGCATCATAGTGTAACATGTGATATATTTTAATCTTAGGACTTCAGCCTGACCTCCCTTTATAGTGTCCTGATACTATATCTTAAAAAAAAAAAAAAGATTTTAAACTCATCTACAATAAAATGAAATTTAAAAAATAGCTATATTCTTGTTCTTCAAAAACAATTTCATCAGTTGAAAAATGTACTTGCAATGGAAATTCTTCTATCTGTAACCTAAAATATTCATTTTTTTGTTTTAAATAGGTGTTCCGAAGAAACATTTCTCTTGCTCTAGCGAAGGGCTCCCCAAAACCAATGAAATAATGAAGTTGTATCTTTCCTCAAAACATTTGGTAAGGTCTTCTAACAGCATTTCTTATGACACTTTGCATTTCTCTTAAATTCATGTGTAAAACCAATAGCACTGTATACTCTTTGCAGATGTGGGAAGGTGAAATTCTATACAATCATTTGTATACTTTCTAGTCCATGTCCACTTGATCCAAGTAAAAATTTTAATTAGTCATTGAGTACCTGTGGTGGTTTTGTTTTGTTATTGCTATTTTTTAAAATCCATTTTATTCAAACATAAAAAGAAAAAAAAAGGAGAGTAAAAAAACTACAATAAAATTTTAAAGCACATCAATCAGGGGGTAACAATGGTACATACATTGTATTTGTCACCCCCAACTCATTCACCCAGATCACAAGACATCTGCCTTCAATTGTCCAAGAAATACCAGTACAAATCTTTCTTTTCAGCAAACTCACATAACGCAGATAAATCAGTAGTACATCTTAACTATTTTTATATACATATACATCTTATTTATTTTATTTATTTCACTAATGCATATGTTCTCAAGGTGCATCTTATTTATTTCACTAATGCATATGTTCTCAAGGTGCATCCATTACCTATAAAAGTGTCCAGTTTATCATTCTTTATAGCTGAGTAGTACTCCACTATATCAAAATATCACATCTTTTTTATCCATCCCTCAGTGGATGGACATTTAAGTTGTTTCCAAAATCTGCCTATTATAAACTGAGCTGCTATAAACATGGATGCACAGGGGCTGGAGATTTAGCTCAGCAGCATAAGCGCCTGCCTTGCAAGCAGGCAGTCGTGAGTTCGATCCCTGGTTCCTCCCCCCCACCCAAAAAAAAACGTGGATGCACATATATCACTGTGGTATGATGTTTTGAATGCTTCTGGGAAGATACTCAGAAGGAGAATTGCTGGGTTGAATGGGACCTCTGATCCTAGTGTTTTGAGGAATCTCCACACTGATCTGCATTCCCAGAAACAGTGGAGAAGGATTTATTTTTCTCTGCAGCCCCTCCAGCATTTGTTAGTGGTTGATTTCTTGATACTAATCATTCTTTCTGGGGTTAGATGGAATCTCAGTATTGTTTTAATTTGCATTTCTCAAATGACCAGGGATGTTGAACATTTTTTCACATATTTATTTGCTGTTTTTATTTCTTCATCTGAGAAGTATATATTCATCTCAGGTGCTCATTTTCAGAGTGGGTCTTTAAATCTGGGAGGCCTGATTTTTTTTTTAGTCCTTTATGTGCTCTTGATAGTAATCCTTTGTCTAAGGAACAGCTGGCAAACATTTTCTCCTACATTGTACATTGTCTATTCACTCTGCTGGTGATTTCTCTTGTGAAAAAATTTTTCAGTGGGATGAGACCCCATTTGTTGATTATTTGTGATAGTTCCTATGCAACCTGGGTTTTGTTCATAAAGTCTTTGCCTATACCAATGTCTTCAAGATTTTTACCTCCTCTATCTTCCAGAAGATTTAATGTTTCTGTTTTAATATTAAGATCTTCAATTCATTCTGATCTTAGTTTCATGCATCTGAAATATATGGGTCCAGTTGTAATGCATGGCATGTGTAGAGCCAGTTTTTCCAACACCATTTGTTAAATAGGCTATCTTTCTTCCAGTGAAGAAAGGTCTCTTCTGGTTCCAGATGAATTTTAGGATTGCTTTCTCTAATTCTGTGAGATATGCTATTGGAATTTTGATTAGGATTGCACTGAATCTGTATAGCAGTTTTGGAAGTATGGCCATTTTAACTATATTGGCTCTTCCTACCCAAGAGCACAGGATCTCTATCAATTTTCTAATATCCTCTTCAGTCTCCTTTTACAGAGTACTGTAGTTTTCAATGTAGAGGTCTTTTACATCCTTTGTTAGATTGATTCCTAGATATTTCTTTTTTTTGGATGTTATTATAAAGGGTATTGTCTCCCTGATTTTTCTATCAGTGAATTTGTTATATGTGTACAGAAAAGCTATCAATTTTTGAGTGTTGACTTTGTAACCAGCTATGTTACTGAATTTGCTTATTAAATCTGAAAGTCTTTTGGTGGAGATTTGGCGTCTTGAAGTAGAGTATCATGTCATATACAAATAACAATAGTTTAATTTCTTCCTTTCCTATTTTCATTCCTTTTGTTTCTTTCTCTTGTCTAATTGTTCCTGCTAAAGTTTCCAGGACTATGTTGAATAAGAGTGGTGACAATGGACATTATGGTCTTGTTCCATTTTTTTCCATTTAGTATGATATTGGCTGTTGGTTTGTCATAGATGGTTTTTATAAGATTGAGAAAAGGACCATCTATCCCAATTTTCTGTAGATTTTTTATCATGAATGAGTGCTGCACTTTGTCAAAAACTTTTTCTGATCATCTATTGAGATGATCATATGATTTTTGTCCTTGGCTCTAATAATGCAATGTGAATACATCTGTGAATGTATGTATGTTGAACCATCCCTGCATCCCTGGGATGAATCCCACTTGATCATGGTGTGCAGTCTTTTTGATGATTTGCTGCAGTGTCTTTGCTAGTATCTTATTGAGGATTTTTCATCAATGTTCATTAGGGAGATTAGTGTATAATTCTCTTTCTTAGTTGGGTCCTTTTCTGGTTTGGGAATCAGAGTAATGTTTGCTTCCAGGAATGAATTTGGGACTATTGCTTCCCTTTCAATTTCATTAAAAGTGTGAGAAAGAGTGGTGTTAGGTCTTCACTAAGTTTCTTGTAGAATTCAGCAGGGATTCCATCAGGACCTGGACTTTTCCTTGTTGCCAGGTTTTTGGTTACATTTTCATTTTTATTTGTTGGGATTGGGTTATTAGGATTCTTATATCTTCTTGATTCAGTTTTGGTAATTTATATGTATCTAGGGATCTGTTCATTTCTTCTGTATTTTCCAACTTATTAGAATACAAATTTTCAAAGTAGATACAAATGATTTTCTGAATTTCTTCAAGGTCTGTTGTGATTTTACCCTTTTCATTCCTCATTGCATGGATTTGAGTCTTTTCTTTCCTTTTTTTATAAGATTGGCTAAGGGTTTGTCAACTTTATTTAATCTTTCAAAGAACCAACTCTTCAATTCATTGATTCTTTGTATTGTTCTTTTTATTCTTCAAGTGTATTAATTTCTATTCTGATCTTTCTAATTTCCTCCCTTGTACAAGCTTTTAGGTTAGCCTGATCTTTTTCTAGAAGTTTGAGATTCAACATTAAGTTATTTATATGTGCTTTCTCTGTTTTCCTGATACGGGCATTTACTGCTATAAATTTCCCTATTAGGATGATTTTCATTGTGTCCCACAATTTCCGATATGTTGTATTGTCATTATCATTCAACCATAAAAACTGTCTCATCTCTTCTTTATTTTCATCTGTGACCCATGCTATTTAATTTCCAAGTGTTTATGAAGTTCTTATGGTTTCCTTTGGCATGGATTTCCAATTTCATTGCACTGTGTATGCATGGGATAATTTCAATTCCTTTACATTTACTTAAGCATGTTCTATGAGCCAGTATATTGTCTATTTTGCAGAATGTCCCCTGTGCAGCTGCGAAGAATGTGTATTCTGATGTTGTGGATTGGAACACTCTATAGACATCTACTAGGTCCATTTGCCCAAAAGTGTGATTTAGTTCTAGTATTTCATCATTGATTTTTTTTTTTGTCTAGTTGATCTGTCTTTTTGTGACAGTGAGGTATTGAGGTCTCCCAATACAACTGTATTAGGGCTTATTCAAGTTTTCATGTTTATTAGTAATTATTTTATAGCTGGGTGCACTGGTATTTGTTGCATATATATTTATCATTATTATTTCTTCCTCTTGAATAATTCCCTTTATAAAGATGTTAGTAACCTTCTTTATCTCTCTTACTCAGTCTTGGCTTGAAATTCACTTTGTTTGCAAATAGAATAGGTACCTCTGCTTTTTTCTGGATTCTTGTTGCATGGAATATTGTTTTCCATCCTTTGACTTTCAGTCTATGAATTCTTTTTTAAATTAAATGTGTTTCTTATGTGCAACACATTGTTGGATCTTGCTTCTTGATCCATTTTTCCAGTCTGTGTCTTAGACTGGTAAATTGAGACCATTAACATTCACGATTATGCATTAACTGATATGTATGGACTTATCTTTGTCATGTTATTTTCTTGTTGGCTTCCCTCCCCCAACCCCACTTCCTCTAATTGTTTGCCTTTACTGGCGAACTCCTTCTGATGGGATTCATGGAGCTATTATCTCTTTCTAGAATGTCCTTCAGAACGTTTTGGAGTGCTGGTTTGGTGGTCATAGATTTCCTCAGATGTTCTTTGTCATGTTCTTTGTCATGTTCTTTGTTATGTCTCCATCTATTTTGAAAGATAGTTTTGCAGGATACATCAATCTGGATTGAAAGTTATTTTCCTTTAGAAAGAGCCACTTTACTCCAAGTTTTCCTTGACTTGAGAGTTTGTGTTGAGGTCAGCTGTGATTCTGATGGGTTTTTCTTTAAAAGTGATTTGTTTGTTTTCCCTAACAGCTTTTAAGATTCTATTCTTGGGTTGAATTTCTGGAATCTTGACTATGATATGCCTGGATGTAGATTTTTTTGATCTTGCTAGTTGGAGTTCTATATGCCTCATTTACTTGTATGACAAATTCTTTTTCTCTACTGGGAAAGTTTTCTGTCACAATCTCTGTGAACATGTTTTTAATGTAATTTGTGGTATTTCTTGCTTGTTAATTGACTCCAATTAATCTTAAGTTATTCTTCTTTGTCTCATCTAGCAGCTGATTTCTCATGATCCCTTACTAGTTTTGAGAAATCTTTATTTTCCTGGTCACTAAGTGCAAGCCTGTCTTCAGTATCTTAGATCCTGTCCTCATACTGGCCTAATCTGCTTTGAATAGTTTCAGCGGAGTTTTTATTTTTTTGGATATCTGCTTGAATTTGCTTTATTGATTCCATTTGTTTCCTATACTGTGCTTCCATAATTTGCTTAAGCTATTCTTTTTGTCTGTGTCAGCTC